TGGGTTACAAAAAAACTTTAAAAGAAAATCCCATCAAAAACCTTTTTTTGATTAAAGCATTTGTCATATCTTGAAACTTTTGAGAGATTATTAGTTTGTGATATTCTTCCAGACTTGTTTATGGCTTTAATAGTTGCCATTCCTTGTAATACTTATAACAGTATGGAAAAATATTCTGAGTTGCAAGTATTTATCATTTCAAAACTTAAACCAATCTGTCACTGGTCATTACAGGAAAAATGACTGCATTTGTGAAACTTACAGAAGAGTCCTGTCCTTAGATGTTGGATGACAATTAACTGAGAACACTCAGAGCTGGGAAGTCAAGCCGAAACACAAAATAATTTCTCTGTTGCTCTTTCCCCATAAACCTATGAGCAGAGATATTTTGAGGTGACATGTCACTGTAAACATTTAGATATTTATTAAATGAAAAGATTGGGTTTTTTCCCATGGCTTCTTGCATAACAAAGATGACATTATTTTGTCCTCTGTCACCTTGTAAGAAGTAACTAGTAAGAAATACAGCATTGTCTTGCTTTTTAGATTGAAGCATTGATAAAAAAAGAACAGCACAAAAAGGAGAAAATTGAGTAAGATTGCAGTTACACTTCACTCTTAAGAAAGCACACTTCTTTTTCTTTGCAAGTAACTACCAATTTATTGTGATTCATTATTACAGACAAATTTAACTTTCTTCTTGCTATTGTCTTCCTCTGTTGTTTAGATGAAAAGCACTAGGAAAATGATGTATAATCTTTCAACTATGTGAATGTATGTGCAAACTCTATGACTGTGAAATCAAATAAATCAATATTAGGAACCATTTATGGTGACTTACATTAAGCAATTTACTTTTTGCTTAGCATTGTTTAGCTAAGCTAATCATGGAAGATTAACCTTTAAAAATTTATATTGCAAACTATGTTGATCCCATTCTTGGTTCTTAATTCTTTTAGCTCTGTAAACTACATTTGACATTTACCAATAGTAATGTCATGGACAAATTTTCCCCCATCCTGCAAATAACAAAGATTTGCATTGTTTACTCTTCCTTTTTTGGGGGGAACGAGTTGAAGACTGGCAGTAGTGCAGTCTTTTTTTTTAATTTTAAATAATGAATTAAATTATGACATCACTGTAGAGATCATTAGAAGTTAAATGTTTAACTCTGAAAACTATTAAGCAAGCATTCAAACTTTTGCAATGGCCACTGTTTCCTCATTTTATTTGAACAAAGCAAAAATACTTTAAAGAATTAATGTGAGAAAAACTTGTTCTAGGGTATGTTATGGTCCTAAGTCACAGCAGCACTGAATTATGTGCATAGGCATGAACCTCCAAGCAGTCCTATTGCTTTTGCTGTGATGCCTTATATGTTTATAACTACTTCTGATGTTTGCCTTCAGTTAATGCTGTAATATAAATATTCAATATTGAGAATGAAAAAGAAATAACAATAATTCATGACAGATTCAGTGTTTACCATTCAAATTTTCTAGTACCTTTCTTAACAGTTCTGAGGAACAAACAGTCAATCATAAACTAGTCTGCCAAGTTTTTCTAAATCTATGGTCTGAGGACCATCGTGCTCCATAAATTTCTTCGAAGAATCTACAAAAGGCAATTAAGAAAGGAAAGTTCAAACACATTATGCAGCAACTCGCATGCAGGAAGTTCCAGAGATTAAAAGAATATTGGTAACCATTGAAAAGGAGGAGAATTTAAGGGACAGGCTCTGTAGCAGTACTAATCCTTGACAGTAGTACAAAAGTGCTACAGATCTTTTTTTCATGTAATACAAAAGCTGTCATTGACATTTAATAGAGTTGGAATATGTTTGTTTTAGCTTCACAAGACATGGCATCTCAAAGTGTGAGAGCTGTATTTAGATGGTATATAGCTTGAAATACAAAAATGTTTCGTACTTACCCATGTTTACTCTTCTATTAAAAACAAAAACTGTTGAGACAATCTGAAGAAAGTTGCATATGCAGTGAGGCCTTGGAGACACCAAGTAAAGAAGCATGACTCATGTAAATGACCAACTCAAAACTAGACTTTTTTTGTAGAAAGGTTAAGGACATTGGGTTTTGAGAGATTTTGCTACTGATAGATGTAAGTTGCCCTTTTAGACACTCAATGGAGTGTTTAACTCCATAATCCCATAATTCAATGGAGCTTTAAAGGATATAATTAAGCCATCTTTTTCTCTCTTAGTGTTAAATCCAAACTAGAACTGGGCCAGAGGAGAAAATGGCAGTAGTTCCATTCTGATACCAAGTATTATTTATAACTATATTCTTAGGAAAAAGGGGAGCTACTGCAGCTTAACTTCTGTTTCAGGAATTTACTCGAACTTCAGGTAGATTCCTGATTTGAAGAATGGCTCTTAAGGCAGCATAGAATTTAGAAATGCAATACTTGCTCCTGTTAGAAGATGCTAATGCATCCACACAAACTGACAGAAACTGAAAAACTAGGCTCTCAATCTGTGATCAGAAGGGCTGGATGAGCCTCATCTGAAGAATTTGGGTTTATTATCTCAGGGACGGGGAGAAGGAGGACAACTACTGCATCCCATTACCATCTCATGCAATCTTTAAAGGCTTTTCAAAAGTTCTGTACGTTCCTTTTGTCCATTTTTTGCTGACACTGTTGAAGAACAATAGCAGATCACAATATGGCACTTTCTTTGCTAATGTCTTCTGAGTTGCTGTAACACACTGGTCCAAGTGGTCTAGAATGCTGCTTTTAATTTCAGCTGGTTCTTTAATCTTACTTCCTAGTACGTGGTGATTCATATCTAAGCAGCTAACAGCATAAAGCAAAACACAGTATCAGTTTAACATAATAATCAGAGGCTAACTTTAACAATGTGAAGCTAAACTGCTTCTGAAAAATGCCATATGCCACTGCAGGTTGTCTATATGACTATGTGCATACATGGAATATTCATACAAGATACATGTATACAGTAAACATATGAAACATGTGTGATGTTAAGCATTTGGTTCAGGTTAAGATCAATGGAAACTGAGGTTTTCGAACTCCACATGGGATATTCTTATAGCATTGAGTCATAGATATCTGTTTCATGGGGAAAATGTAGCCTTTCCTCTAGAGCTCTGAAAGTTTGGTTCCATAGGTGTGTTCAGAAAATAAGACTTCAAAAAGCTCTGGCTCTTTTTGATCCACAATATTGGTTTTGATTCAGAACACTTAAATGGTGACTGTTTCTATTTTCTTTGTCAGTAGGCTGATAAACTGTTATTACTATGGAGCAAAACCTTTTCAATACACAATATTCCTAGTGGGTCATTAATTTTATGTTGAAATGAAAGAACTTTTTCCCTTTTCCTCCTGACAGTTACATCTGATTTGTTTGTATTAGACCAAACCTGTACTCTGTTCTCTTTATTACTCCTAGGACTTTTCTAAAACCAAAGAAAGACTGACTATTGTCAGTTAAGCTTATAGTACAGAAGATACAGTTAAGGGAAATAAGATTTGCACAAATATGTTATCCTCTTCCAAAGCACTGGTGTTTTACCCTTTGATTCTATGCTATTTCTTCTTTCTCCTTTGAAATTAATGGGGGAAGACTTCGGACTTATGGGCATTTTGAAATAAAATGCTAGACCTGTAGGCTATGGACTGGTGAGATATTAAACATACTTTTTTACTTCCTTCTACGTTATTTACAAAATGAGGAGAAATCACATAGCTGACCACACTGCAGCTACTTAATGCTGCTGTAAATAGATCATAATAAGCATGTGGTATATATGATTGTCTTTGCTGATAAATGAAAGGGTATGGATTGTTCAGCATCAGTGGAAGGAGGGGAACATGAAAAAAACCTTCCTGATTGCAGCTGCAAATGGTAGCAATTTTTCCTTCCTGCATTAATGAATGTAATTCATGTAATGCATATTACTTCATTCAACAGCAAAATTCTCACATTCAGTTCACAGACATAAAGTATTTTAATTAGGAATATCAATGAGCAATGACAATCCACTTCCAGAAAAAGCACAGAAAGATGCTTCTTTGGCCATGTAGAAGGAGCTGTGATGCGAATATAGTTTTCCAGTGTAATAAATTTACTTTCCTAAAACTCTTTACCAAAACAATATCCTTTAAGCCATGTTCTGTTTTCTTTGTCTATTTTCCCTTTCCAACCTTCCTTTACACGCAGTATTTGACTGCAAACTTGCATTTTACAATCTCTAGTGATCAAATCACTTCATCCTCTATAAACATCACAAATTAAAAGAGCTTTCAGCATCTGAACTCCAACACAACATACACAAAACTAAAATAATTCATTGTCTAGAGACCATAACAAATTTTAATGTGCATTTACAGAGTAAACAGAGGGCTCAAAGGGGTCAAACCAGTGGAAGTGAAGGTATGTATTACAAAATCCACACAGTACTGAATTACAAACTAAAAAGCGATGTTTTGTCAAAAAAGGAAATAAGGATGTCTAACGGTGGCACGACATATAGATAATATTAAAAACTGACTTGCATGAGGACCAAAGTATGCCTACTCTGAAGTTATATCACACAGACTGTAAGCAATTTACAGAATTTAAGTTAGTTTTGCATATACAGGAGTTGCAAAATCAGAGAAAACACACTGAAATATAGAACGCACACAAAAAAAAAGATGTGTATATATAAACCTCCACGCAATCATCAGGGGTTGGCCTAAGTCAGTAATTGCCACCATTGAACAAGAAACAAACAAAAAAAGACAAGGAAAAAACCCGTAGGGAAAAAAGAATAAATAAATAAAAAAAAAAATCTAAAGAACTCAAAAGAAAAATATCCTTATTTGTTTTCCAGAAACAACATCCCCTAGTCTGCTTAGCTGCTTTGTAGAATTTATTTTCTCCTCCCTATTCCTCATGCAAAAAAAAAAAAAAAAAAAAAAAAAAAAAAAGGCTTTTTTATAAAGTTTTTTGGGGGTCTTTTTGGGGGTGGGGTTGATGTTAAATCACTATGTTTTTTTTCATTATTAGACCTCTGTTTGCTTCCAGGCTGCAACGGTTCTTTCAGCGTAGGAAACCAAATGTCATCCATGGTTAATTCTGTAATACTGATGACTCGCAGGCCAACCCCTGAGAAGTCAAGGATGAGGCTTCTCCTTGCCGAAAGAAAAGGAAACTAGGTCTTGCTGTTACAAAACGTTTGATTACATCACACCAGTTCTCTTCAAATAAAAGATCAGTGATACGCCAAAGAAAACAAGATATATCAAGAAAACATGTGGTATCCTCTTCTTTTTATAATATTTATTTATTTATTTTATTTATTTATCTATCTTTTTCTTTCCACACCACAGATATACAGAGAGAAAGTCAAAGGAGAGATTGAATGTATAGGTATACTACTTACGCAGCCTTTGTTTAAACAACTTTGCTGTCCGCTCCGTGGATTTTACAGGCGATTTGCTCTTTGCTTTAAGAAGAGAAAGTGATATTGGAAAAAGTCAGCACTTTTAGATTAAAGCAAAGCACCCTTCACAAAGCCACAAACAAGAAGCAGGACAGAAAGTCCATGGCTTGTAGCTATCCTCGCACCTGCGGAAGAAGTTATAAGATATTCGCTCATCTTGCAGATTTCCAACGCTCCTTATAAGGCTGTTTTAAACACATACATTTATATATTTAATTAGCTCGCCAGGTTGGCTCTGGTGCCCATGAATGTCTTGGCATGCACTGCAAACAACAACACATACAAAGTATTTCAGTCCCAGGGAGGTTTTTTGTTTTGCTTTGTTTTGTTGTCTGTCTTTTTAAATAACATTATCCAGTGAAAGCATATACCAAGAGGAATGAACCCAAACACCTTCCACCTCAGAGTGTTCTTTACAAAATCATTTCCAGTATCACATTATTGACTGCTAACAAAAAAGTCATCTACTGGTTAAAGAGTGTTTTCTTGTAAAAAACAGGACATACTAGCAAATGGCTATGCTATTTACAAGGGTGAAACAATGCTAAAAGGTTTGGAGTATTTATTTTTAAGAAATTGTATTTTCCTAGATTTTTTTTTTCTTTTTAAAAAGCTATAAAAACATTGCTACATATAATTTTTTATAAAAACATGACTTTATATTTTAAGTATGTTATCAGATTAAAAACATTCAGAACTAGACTAATCAAACTGAAATGTTCGCACACCGAGGACAGGAGTATTTAGATGTCTTACATACCAAGTCTCAGTGTTTGGTAACTCCCTATATCAGAAAGAATTACATTCATCATTTGAAACATATTACTTAAGATGCAAACCATAAATTTAATTTGGTTACACTATAAATGAAAGTTCCAATTATAACAGGTTAATGCACGATTAATAGATTTTATAGCTGTGTTATATACTGGAAAAGGATGAATGTTATTGATGGTTACAGGCATCAATTCTATAACAAAATAATAATGGTGTTATAAGCAGTCCATAATAATGCTGGATTTTTAATAACTGGTTATTTTTAAAAAATCTATTAATCATGTATAAGCTATTTTTGTAAAGAATTTCATATTAAACTGAATGCTGGATTCAATTGCAGGTCCAAAAAGCACATTTATCTTCTCTTCAAGAATACACATAATGAAAGTAAAAAGAACTCAAGGCAAATGCTCATTTTTTAAATTGTTCAGATGTTTACCAATAAAACATTTCTCTGTATCTGCTAACTGTGTTTATAAGTGTAGCAAGAAGGATTTCTGTTCCTGTCTTTAGTAAATTTTTCCCTTCAAAAATGGGGGTTAAACTAAATCCCAGATCTCTGAACACTGCTTCCTTATGTAAATACATGGTGTGAGATGTTGCATACATAGTAGTGGTCGTAAAAGACTCTTAGTCCTCTGTCACATACACGAGATCTTCTAAGTAACAGTGATATTTCAATTATCCATGTGTGAACTGAATTTCTAAATGAATATGAACTTTAACATGGAAACATGTTTCAAAGACATTATGAAGATTTTCAAAGAAGTCCAAGGGAACTCTGAGCTTAGTTCCTACTGAACATAGACAGGAGTGGGAAGCCTACTTTTCTCTTGCCCACCTGATAATGCTAACCTACCTGCACTACACTGCAGTAGTTTGCTGGGCTTCTCAAAACTCTTGTTCTGTATCAGGAACAAGCAAACGCACAAGCAAATGTGCTGTAACTTCTTCCTGTGAGTCACTGTCACAAGCTTGCACCCAAGGGTCAAGTGCAGTTACCGGTTTTGGTTTTATTGCAGCATGGCTTTATTCTCTCTTTTATACAAGGTATAAAATGTGTTATTTGACAGATTTTTATAAAGGCTTTTCTTTCTCTAACTAGGTTAGCAGAACTTAGTTAGGGCCTTTGTTAGTGTTAGATCATTTCATGATGTATTGAATTATTTTCACTCATTTTATTCCATGTAAATATTTTTTTAATTGAACTAGAGAAATACACTGCTCAAGACAATTCTAAAGAGGCCTTTGGAGATACATTTCCTCTGCACAAAATATGTACTATGCAAATAGGGATAAATACTTAGAAGTGTCTCATGGATATTTTTAAAAGAGCTTTTTCAACGGTTAATGGCATTATAATTTGAGAATTTGAAAGCTGTAATGTGTGGAAGAGAAACAGTAAAATACAAAATGCGCTTGACAAACTATTCCACAGTGGGAAAAGAAGCACTATAATACTTGCAGGCAAAGTATTCTTTGATTTTTGTTTTGTTTTGCTTTTTTTCTATATGACAATCTATAGATCCCCAAGTTAGGGGTCTTATATTGCATACACATGATAACCTTTTTATTTATAATGTTCAGTCTCTGTATAAATCACAACCTCCCGCCAATTCATATCGCATGTTCTACATGCATATTCTTCAGCAAACAGCACGTTTGCTTTTCTTTATCTTGCAGGAGATTTAGGTTGGAGTATATGCAGTAAGCACAGGCTAAAGCAATACCGAACACATGAGAAAAATTTAGGGGAAATACAACTAAACCAAGTTCAGCTTCTAGGTGAAGAAAAAGGCTGTTAAGATTATTGGAAATCACTATCATAGGCAGTGGCCTCTGCATGGTTTTGGGAACTGATTATTATATCCTAATGTCATATCAGGTCTCTCTTTACCGGCTTAATAGTTTCCGAAATGCTGTCTAACCCAAACTGATACATTTCCAGTAATGTATCACTCCCAGTAAAATTGACTTGCAATATACAGTGACATATATGACTATTAGGTGCCCTGTCATATTTTCAGTGATTCTTTATGAAATACAATGTACTCAGGTTTCCTTTTTTTCTGGAGATGTGTAAAAGAACTGTATTTGTTGTCTCATGAACCCAAGTATTTCTTTAGATTTTGGAAGGGTGAAAACTGCAAATGTAGAATAATAACATAGCAGAACCAAAGGCAGACTTTTTAGATTTTTTCCTTTTTCTATTCTGTCGTATTTGCTGATATTCTATTATTTGGATTTCCATCTTGATAAAGGATAAGTGACCAGAAATAGTCAGAAATTACCATTTTAACTTCGAATGTAAAAGTCATAAAGTGTTTAAATCAGAGATCTAGTTTCACTATTTTTAGACTTAAGTCAGAGACAAACTACAGATCAGAATCCAAATCCAAATGTCTGAAAAACACAGAGTATCCAAATCCAAGAGTTTTCATGCAGATGTGTTTTTGGTGTACAGTTCTGTCTAGGACCTAAATAGTATCACTGCAACTGTAAGAATGGTAATATAAGTAAAAAACCTGTCAATCTGGCTGTGGATTTGCTAAATTGATTACTCATTTCTCTACCATTTATAACATTAACATAATGAGAGCTAAAAGAAATTTTATTGCAGGTCAAGAACACTGGGCAAAGCTGGACTACAATTATGTTACCCTCAAAGACAGTAACCTGGAAGAAGAACGGTAGTATGTATCCATCTATTATTTCTACATTAGTAGATAAACTCTACTTGATGTGTGGGTCAGGGTTTCTCATGTTTTGACCTAACAACCACTGGGATCCAGTTAAATTCCTCCTGTGAGATGTTAATGCCCATGTCATATCTTTTGTTTCCTGCCACCTACATACATTCAAAAGAGCAAATGTCCACAAAATGCTTAGCCTTCTCCTGTAAACAAATACTGTATTGCCAAAGGCATGCAATCATAAGTTTCTGTGCAGCAGTATGAAAGAGTAGTTCATGCCATTAAACTCTCTGAAACTGTGTTTTATTCAAATATGTGATTTACTTAAATGATACGAAAACAGAGAAAAAACCAATATGATAAATAATTGTGATTTAGTGTTTAAAATAATAAAATAATCTCTGTCACAAATGCTGAACCATATTTCATGGTTCATACTGGATGCACCAAATAGCTAAACAACAATTTTATTCTGTTAATGAGATTAATTTTAGAACATCTAAGTAAAAATAAAGTCAGCAGAAGTTACAAGTTGTTAGTAAACCTTAACTGATCAAAAAACTAGTTACTCATGCCATGCCTGGATGACTATAATCCCTTGTTTCCACTAAGACACTGATCAGACAAAATTTGTGTAAAGATATATGGGATTTTGGGATGCAAGCAGAGAAAAGCAAATGCTGGTTTCATAATTTTGCTTATTTATTTTTCACAATTGGACAAAACACTGATTTGTAAACTAAGCTGCCTTAGGCCCTAGAGTTTTAGCATCTCCTATTTGTAGGAGTACCTTACATGGTTAACCACCTTGAGTCTCAGACAGTTTGCATCTGCAAGAGTTGAAGCTTAGCAAGTTTGGTATTCCTTATGCTTGCTAAGGTTTGGGACATCTCTGGGATGTAATAGCCTCCTGCACTCTAAGCCTCAATATCCATCAGAGCCTCTGAAAACTGGATTCTTACAGTTATGCTTACAATGAGTACTGTATTGTCATATACATAACAGAACAAATCTGTGAATTCAACAGCACTGATTTAATATTTTACTAAACATATAAGTTTAGTGAGAGTATCTTTGAGTTTCCTTTAATGAGTAAGCCTCTAATCAGAAGGGAAGACTAATGCCTGAGTGGAGTCCTGGTTTTGTGCTGACCAGTACAGGAGAAATACAGCCAGTCACATAGAAATCCATGCTAGGTTATCTGTAAGTGTTACATGATGCCAAAATATCCCTACATATATATTGGAGACACATATTCAGCTTGTGCTGAATATGAGTTAATTTTGTTGTACTACTGGTTTCTGAAATCACAGAGGTGTTGAAATCTTGGAAGTTTCATTTTTCAGGAATTTGTGCTGATATTTTCCATCTTTAAGTGCCTGGTTTGCTGCTTTGCAATGCTCAGCTTTGCTTTATAGTGTTAGATTTGAAATACCTTTCTTGTCAGCCCCAGTTGAAACCACACGAAATCATAATTTTGCATTACTTCCATGTAAAGTAAGTAAAAGTTCATGAAATATCTGCCTTAATTTTACTAGGGATATTAATGAACCATAGGATTTATAGGAAGACATTTGTAGTTTTACATCCATAAAGATAGGTGAAACCAAGTATGGTTGATTTTATTTGAAGTTTTATTTGAATATGATTCACAC